ATGTTAAAACCATGTTTGGAACCTTGTTAGAACATAGTTTACACATTTAAAGCATACCTCTAATTCAATGACAGGATTGCTAGAGTGTCCATTGTCATGGAACCCAAAACTCTTGCCCGCCGGACAAGTCGCCCATCGGTTGCCCCGAGTAGCCTTGCGCTAGTGCGGACGTCTTCTGCCTCGCCGCCGGCTGAAAAAAATGCAGTGGAGGCGTTTGTTCAGGAGTAGTCCCTGAAGGCGCCAGACCCTGGAGAGGACTCCTTCTCCAATGAGGGCGGCGGTGGTGCCCATGGCCGATCCACGATTGGAGTTCCACTGGCTTCCAGACCCTGGATTCCCGATCCAAGGGTTCCCTGTTTGGGCTTCTGCGCGAAGCATGATGTTCAACACGGGTAACCAGGCCCCTGCCGTGTGTCAGTCGTGTGGGCTTAGCAGCAGGCGCAAGCAGGGACCCGGATGCGCGTGGATATTCGCGACGGGCCCCGCTCTTCCGTGCAGGAAGTCGGCGCTCGCTCCGCCTCGCCAGCTATCGGGCGGCGCGCCGGCTTTGTGCCTCGGTGTGTGTGTGTGTGTATATATATATATATATATATATATATATTGCCCGCTCCGTGGGTGTGGCGCCCGCGCGCCAGGTTCGCACATCCCTGACCCATGCTACCCAGAGCACCCCCGGGCAATGAAGAAAGCATGACGGGGGGGTTTGGGCCATTCTCGGCCTCTGGGGGCCCTTACCGGCCCTCGAGACCGTCAAAAAGCAATTCAGAATGACAAACCGGTCCAGGGGAATGGGTCGAGACCTCCAGGGGTCGAGACCTCCAGACATGCTCGCGTCGTGCAAAAAGGCAGGGCGGAGGCTTTTGTTGCGCCGCTCTCGGGCCCGGGAGGCCCTCGCCGCGCCTCGGGGCCGCCAGAAAACGGCTCAGGATGAAAAGCCAGTCCTGGGGAGAGGGTCGGGACTTCCAGGGACGCCGTCCTGAAAAAGTCAGGGCGTCGCATGTCTGGGTACACATCCCTAGTCCATGCTAGCGCCTGCCCGGCTCCGCCGAGGCGCGGCGACGTCGCTCGGGAGGGGAGAGGAGCAGCTCCGACACGCCGCCGTAGGGAGCGCGGCAGGGTGTGTCTCCCTCGTGTCTGGTCCCAGGACCCGGGGTGTCTCTTCGACGTGCGGCACGCTGGTGGGCTTCCCGCGGCGGCGTGTCATTGGTATTGTTTCTGCTCGCTCCCCCAAAGCCAGGAGGCAACAGAAACGCAGACACAATTCATCGTCGATCCCCAGGGGAAATGTGGGAACATATGGGAAGTGGGGGGGAAGACGAAAGCCTAGAAAAAATGTGAAAATGTGGGGAATCTTGCTATTTGTGTGTGTGTATTTACTTGTGTGCCCCGGGGCCCCTTCACAAAGGGTCAGCCCCTGGCGGGGAGGCACACAATGCCCACCCCCCCGAAGACCAGGAGCTGCCCAACCATCAGCTGTCGGAGCGCCGCGCGGATGTCCGGGGCCGGCGCTCGCGGGCCCCCCTCGTGGGAGGGAGCCCAGCAGAGTCCCGCGCCGATCCAAGCTATCCGGGGAGCAGTAGCTCACCAGCCTGGGATCGGGGGCGGCAAAGAGGGGGGTGATGACTAGGGGGGGGTGGATATCATGGCGGGGGCCATGATATTTCCCCAGATCTCATGGCGCCTCTTCTTACTTCATTACGTCCCTGGCCCCCCCGCTGGGCCGCGCACACGCCGCCGGTCATGATTTGCACCCCCCCTCTTGGACACCCCCTTCTTGACCGCTCCCGATGGGAGATGCCCCAATCCCTGTGATTGGCATCGCCCCCCCTCTCGATGCTGTTCGTGAGAGTCCGAGCCCCCTCAATTTTCGAGGGCGCCTCCCCGGGCTTGTCCTCGGCGTGTGCATCTCAGGGATCGGCAGAAGTTCGAGGCTGGAAGCAGTGTCGGCGCCACACCGGTCGGACGATCCCAGCAGCGCGTCCCGGTATTGTAGGAGGGCTGAGGTAGTGAACGGGAGGCGCAACGAGCAGCACGCGCACGGTTGGAGAGATGGCGTGCGCGTGGCACTGCTGCTGTCCATGCCCTCCCGAGAGAAGTCGGGTGCTGCTGGGCAGAGTGCCCCTGGGCCAAGGAGGCCCCCAGGATGGTCAAGGAGGCCCCACACGGCCCCCGAAACCAAGCCCCATCCAGGGGTCCCAGGGCCTCCAATCGGCAGCGAGCGAGGGGGGAAGTGAGAAGGAGAAGGCCTTCTCGGCAGGTTCGGAAGTCTCCTGGCCTTCTGAGAAGTGTCTTCTCCGACGACAGACATCAAAGACTTCTCAGACGGCGCGAGGGCGTCTGAGAAGTCCCGCCGCCTTCTGAGAAGGCCTTCTCCTTGTCGTGTCCCCCCGTCGCTTGCCGCCGATCCAAGATGGAGCGAGAAGCAGGGGGCACCTTCGGACAGGGGCACTTCCGGCAACACCCGCAGGGATCGGTGTGTGGTCATGCTGCTTTCTTGGCATCGCCGTGCCCGCGGTTGGAGGCGCCTCGAGCAGGCAGGTCGCCGGGAAAAACAGCCGCACCACACCGCCGCCAGAGGACCCCTTTGTTGCGCCCCTGGCCGTGTTGGTGGTGGTGCCGCTCTCCCTTGATGGGCCTGTTTTCCACCACCGCCACCATCAGTTGGATGGGGGGAGAACTTTCCCGACTTTCCCCCCAGGACGACGTCCCCTTGGATGGGGGGAGAATGAGGAGGGGGAGGAGGAGGAGGAGGAGGAGGAGGAGGAGGAGGAGGAGGAGGAGGAGGAGGAAGAGGAGGGCTCCCTCCCCCTCCAACTTATGGTGGTGGTGGTGGACAAAAAACCCAGCATCTCTGGCTCCTGCGTCGGGAGGGGGGAAGAGTATCGGTGGCACGCTGCCGTTGCTGGCCCCACAGCATGTCGCTCTTTCGCTCTTTCGCTGTTGTCCAGAAGCATGGTGTCTCTTGAGCAACAGTAGCACGCTGATGGGATCCCGACGGCGGTGTCATTGAGACTGTTGATGTTGGAGCCCCGACTACGTACCCATCAACAAAACCAGATCCAAGCGCCTGGCGCCGTGAACACATGACGCCGTTGCGGCTGAAGGCCGAAGCAGCTTCACACGGTTCCCGACGGGGGGGCACGATGGTGACCGTTCTCTTCTGCATTGTTTTGCCGATCGGCGCGGGCCCTCGCACTCCCCCTCCCCCCCAACTTGGCTGTTCTTGGCGCCTGTTTCAGGCACGTGGAGTCCCTCCCCCATGGGACGCACTGTTGCAAACCGTTGCATTAAGCAGAGGTCTGGAGCCAGACCCTCCCCCCCTTTCCGCCCAATGTCGAAACAACGAATAACAAAAAAGTTCACAAGGGGGACCACGATGGGAGGCCAACGACGGGGGGGGGGCCAACGATGGGGGAGCCAACGATGGGGGGCCAACGATGGCCCAACGATTTCGAGGCTCGGATCCGGATCGTGGGGGGCCACAGTGGGCCAACGATTTCGGGGGCCCAGCATCCCTCACCGGGCGCGAGAAGCGTGATGCAGAAGCCTTGCAGGCAAGCCACCTTTGGAAAACGAGCAAAAGGGCAAGCGCGTCTTTTTGTTCCAGGCCTGGGCCCCGGGAGGCCCCGTTTCGGGGCCCCGGGCCCACAGCAAGGCCCTGCCGCGCGAGGCTCGCAAGCTCCACATATGGGGCAGAGAGCTCCAGAGGGCCCCGGTGGGTGGAGCCACACGCAGGACCTCGGAGGACTTCTCTGGGGGCCTCCTTCCCGGGCCCACAACAAGAGCCCTGCCGCGCGACGCTTCTCCAAACTCCAGAGGGGGCAGGGAGCTCCCAGGGCCCTGTGGGTGGAGCCAAGCGCAGGACCTCATCGAGGACTTCTGCGTGCCTCCTCCCCGGGCACGCCGGAAAGCCGGAGTCAGCCGACTGTGGTGCAGCCGGGGCACTGACACGAGGACCACGTCGGGCTCAGGATGGCCTCTCGGTTGCCAGCCGTTCCCGAGATCTACTACTAGGTCGGGCCTGTCCCCCTATAGGTGGATGTGGGCGAGAAGTGGAAAAATAGTCAGAACATGTTCCCAGATGCTAAAGAAATAGTCAAACAATCGTGCCCAGATTATTTTTGAGCATATGTTGGATTTTTTGTCCGTCCCCAGACTGCTTTTGACTATTGAATAGGGGGACGCGCCCGATTTAGATCTACCAGGCCTGGGGACTTCTATTCGTGGCCGCGGCTCGCCGTGGCCAGGGAGACGCCCCTTCGCTCCCTGTCCGGCGTTCCCCCCGCTGTGGCACGATGGCTTTTTGCCTCCCCCTGCTGTCGTTTGTCTGCTGCCAGCGTGTTTTTTTTTTTTTTTTTTTTTTTGTGTGTGTGTGCGTGTGAGTGTGTGTGTGTGTGTGTGTGTGTGTGTGTGTGTGTGTGTGTGTGTGTGTGTGTGTGTGTGTGTGTGTGTGTGCGCGTGTCTCCCAGACATGATCGCGTCGTAGCAAAACTGGGGACGGGAGGTTTTTGGCGATGTTCGGCCCCGGGGGGCCCTCGCCGGGCCTCGGGGCCGTCAAAAAAGACTCAGGACGAAAAACCGGTCCCAGGGAAAGGGACGGGACTTCCAGGAACGCCTTCCCGAACAAATCGGGACGTCGCATGTCTGGGCTCATTTCTCTGTTCCTTTCGATTTCGTGCCTCCACTTGCTCCCGGAGCACCCCACCGCCAGCTGACCAGCGTCTGTCTGTCTCGGACCATTCTTTAGGGTGCCACATGCGAACCCTACCCCTACCCCCCACGATTTCTGAGGGGGAGGGTGGGGTCCACTTCGTTCGGGAGCTCCCGAGCGGAGCGAACCCCACCCTTCCCCTCAGAAATCGTGGGGGGTAGGGGTAGGGTTCGCATGTGGCCCCCTATTCTTGGCGCCCGCGGACTTTACAGAAGTGCGTCTGTGATGTGCCGCCCGCGGGCTTCGTGGCCCTCTCCTGTGGCGTGGCTCTGGCCGGCCGCGGGGCCAGGCCCTGGCTGATGTTGGTCCTGGTTTCCCAGGCGATGGAGCCGGCCTTCAACAGCATGTTCGTCTTCCTGGCCGTCTCGGAGCTGTACTGGGAAGGCCGCCCCACGCCCTCCCTCGTCTTCCTCGGTGTTGGGGGCCCTCCTTATCCTCATCTTCCTCCTCCTCCTCCTCCTCCTCCTCCTGCTGCTCCTCCTCCTCCTCCTCCTCCTCCTCCTCCTCCTCCTCCTCCTCCTCCTCCTCCTCCTCCCCCTCCTGCTCCTTCTCTCCTCCTCCTCCTCCTCCTCCTCCTCCTCCTCCTCCTCCTCCTCCTCCCCTCCTCCTCCTCCTCCCTCTTCTCCTCCTCCTCCTCTTCTTCCCCTCCTCCTCCTCCTCCTCCTCCTCCTCCTCCTCCTCCTCCTCTCCCTCCTCCTCCTCCTCCTCCTCCCACTCCTCCTCCTCCTCCTCCTCCTCCTCCTCCTCCTCCGCCTCCTCCTCCTCCTCCTCCTCATCCTCCTCATCTCCGCCCTCTCCTCCTCTCCTCCTCCTCTCCTTCTCCTCCTCCTCCTCCCTCCTCCTCCGCCTCCTCCTCCTCCTCTTCCTCCTCCTCCTCCTCCTCCTCCTCCCCCCTCCTCCTCCTCTCCTCCTCCTCCTCTTCCTCCTCCTCCTCCTCCTCCTTCCTCCTCTTCTCCTCCTCTCCTCCTCCTCCTCCTCTCCTCCTCCTCCTCCTCCTCCTCTCCTCCTCCTCCTCCTCCTCCTCCTCCTCCTCCTCCTTTTCCTCCTCCTTCCTCCTCCTCCTCCTTCCTGCTCCTCCTCCTCCCTCCTCCTCCTCCCCTCCTCCTCCTCCTCCTCCTCTCCTCCTCCTCCTCCTCCTCCTCCTCCCCCTCCTCCTCCTCCTCCTCCTCCTCCTCCTTCTCCTCCTCCTCGGAAAAAATACAGCAGGGGGCATTTTTCGGGACTGACGGCACCGGGGGGGGGGGGCCCGGTCTGAGCATCCCCTTTGCTGCGCCGAGGGGCCTTCGCCTCGGCCCGCCGTGAGGCTGCCGGGGACCGGTTTCTCGGGAGCCACGGAGTCTCTGGCTTGGTTGGAGGTGAGCGTCAAACGGTTCCCAGGGCCGAGCTGACCGCCCTTCTCGAAGTTCTTCGGCCTGTCAGGGTTGATGAAGCTCTTAGGGGGCCACGTGCGAACCCTACCCCGACCCCCCACGAGTTCTGACGGGGCAGGGCGGGGTTCGCTCCGCTCGGGAGCTCCCGAGCGGGGCGAACCCCACCCTCCCCCTCAGAAGTCGTGGGGGGCAGGGGTAGGGTTCGCATGTGGCCCCCTGATTACTGGAGCCACGGAGTTTCTGGCTTGGTTGGAGGTAAGCGTCAAACGGTTCCCAGGGCCGAACTGACCTCCCTTTTGAAGTTCTTCGGCCTGTTAGGGTTGATGAAGCTCTTAGGGGGCCACATGCGAACCCTACCCCCACCCGCCACGATTTCTGAGGGGGAGGGTGGGGTTCGCTCCGCTCGGGAGCTACCGAACGGAGTGAACCCCACCCTCCCCGCCTGTCAGGGTCGATGAACCTCTCACGCTTGTCTGGGATCGCATCAACCATGTGAAGGCCTATGGCAATGGGCGGCGTCGCATGTTTCGTCTTGCCAATGCTGACCTTTGGTGGGAGTTCTGGCACTTGCACTCGCTCCGTACGGCCGACGCGACCCTTGTGCATTGCCGCTCTCGTCTTGATGATCCCGCCAAGTTTGAGCGTTATTGGGGAACCGCGGTCGCGGAGCATGTTTTCATCAATCGCGTGACCGACTCTCTAGCAGACCAGCGGGCAGAGCAGGCACAACTCCCAGCAAACCTGTGTAGGGACGTGCTGGAGCTGGAAGCCAAAGCCAAGTCTGTTCTGCTCCGCACGGCTTCCATTACAATTGAAATAGCGTCCCAGCCGAAAGATAGCTCGCGCGTTGTCGCTAAGAGCCCAATCGATCGTACGGAGAGGGCCAAGCAGCGCAGGACAGCGCTCGTCCGCTCCTCGCTGCACCAGTTTTTTTCTTGCAGTACCCAAGTCTTCGCGGTGTTCGGAGTGTGGCCTCCATGCTCGTGAAAGATCCAGGGACTTTCGGAACCGGGTCTTGTCTGCCTGTCCGGCCCTCGCCCCCAGGCCTCCCGTCTCGTTCCCTAGGGTTGTCTCGTCCCCGGAGCCTGTGGCCCCCGTGGATGAGTGGCTTTGGCGTCGTTTGGGCATGGAGGACCCCCCACAGCGCGTTGCTCACTCTGCCAATGTTAATGGGCAGCAGTTGCATTCCAGCGATGAGCTGTGGTTTAAAGGTCGGTTTACTTTTTGTGGGTTGTGTGGAGCCTGGGCCAATCAGAGACCAGTCAATCGTTTGGTTGCATTGTGGCCCTTGAAGGGACCCCCACAAGATCACCCCCAAGCAGCTGCAGGCTCTCGAGCGTGTTCGCAAAGGGAAGCCTCCTCAGCAGTCTGCGTCCGATCCGAATGGGGCACTGCGGAGGGATTTGCCCTCTAGGTTTTTCTGCCACCAAGTTTTAATCTGTCTGTCAGAGTTTGGCCTGGTGCAGCACACAGCGAGACAACCCTCAGGAACACGGCCCCGGGCCGCGCCGCTGGTTCCGACGCGCGGACTCGCAGTGGAGGCCCATGCCAAGCAACACCAAGGGAACGATTACCAGCCTGGAACATATCCTTATCCCTATGCTGGGCGCCTCCTCATCACGATGCCAATCTTAGGGGTTCCCTTATTTTTTGAAGGCGAATCCCTAAGATTGTCATCGCCTTTTGGCGTGTCAATCGCAGGGATAGGGATACGTTCGAGGCTGGTAAAACGAGCAGTGGCATAACCACAGGAGCTCGGAAGTCCGCGCGGACTTCTCGGATCGGCGCTGGGGCTCCCTGGCGGCGCCTCCGGCGCCGCCCCTGGCTCGCTCCGCGTGCCAGGGAGGGGGGTCCAGCGCGGATCCAAGCAATCCGCGCGGACCTTTGAGTTTTTATGTTTATGTATTTTCCCGTTCCCCCAAACACCCTGGTTGCTTCCTGGGTGCCCTGGGTTTCTTGGGTTTCGATGGTTTTGCCATGGACAGCGTGACGTCCCCGCCCCAAAAATCCATGGACGTCCTGGAGTCTCAGGGTTGGTTTTCTTGTGGAAGGTTTTTTGTGGAGTGGCCTCCACTGTATGCGTTAATCCTGCCAGTGTTCATCACATATTGCCTACCGTGCATTGTCTTCAGTCAGTCCCTGCCGTCGCCGTCCGCTTCTTCGCAGTGTGGGTTTTCGTGAGGTGCGGATGAGCGTTCCCCAATCATCCTCGCTTCATTATCTGCCTCGTCCTTCTTCTTTCATAAGTACACACATACACATACATCCATCCATCTCTCCATCCATCCATCCATCCATTCGTTCATTCATTCATTCATACATACATACATACATGCACACATGGATACATATATATATATATATATATATCAATATATATATATATATATATATATATATATGTTCAAGGGGGGGAGTGCGTATCTTGACTGGGCCTCCGCAGAGGCTGCCCCACCTTCCTGATGCCCCTGGGCGCCCTGCTGCAGCTGGCCGTGCAGAAGCTCTACCGGCGGGCTGGCTTCGGGGCCCCGCCGCAGGCGGCTCCTCGTCCTCGTCCTCCTCCTCCTCCTCGTTCTCCTCCTCCTCCTCCTCCTCCTCCTCCTCCTCCTCCTCCTCCTCCCCATCGTCCCCTCTCCTTGGGTGGAGCGCAAGAAGGGGCCGAGGAGGCTCGACCTCCACCAGGGCACTTGAATCCCCCACCAGGGCAAGAGGCCTGGCATCTCTCGGACGTGGTCGTTTTTTTTGTAAAGCAAATTCGGCGAGGACCATCGAGGAGCATCCTGGGTCATCTTGTGATAATCAAGAAACGCGCACGAAACCCCAAAAGGCACGGGAATGGACGTCCGAGCGATGGGAAGGAGGGAGTTCGATCTCCACCAGGGAGTTTGAGCCTCCGCCGAGGGGGTCTGACTCCCACCAGGGCAAGGGTCGGCGGAGGTCGAGGGGGGGAAGTGAGAAGGAAAAGTCCTCCTCAGAAGGCGGCGGGGCTTATCAGAAGCCTTCGTGTCTTCTGACAAGTTGTCTGCGTCTTGGGGATAGACTCAAACAACTTCACAGAAGGCCAGGGGACCTCCGAGCCAGGGAACCTCTGAGCCTTTTGAGAAGGCCCGCCCCTCCCCACCTCCTCCCCGGGCGCGCCGCCTGCGTTCGACCTCCCTCGGGGAGCTCGCGCCTCCGCCGAGGGGGTCCGACTTCCGCCGGTGCAGGAGGGGCCGTCGCAGATGGGGGGAGAGGTCGGCCACGCGCAAAGGGAGGCAGGGGGGAGGGGGGAAGGCTTCTTGGTTGTGGGCCTTGCCTGCAGACGCAAGGCCGGCGCCTCCTCAGAATCGGCCTCCTTCCGAGAAGTTTCCCCCCTCCCTCTACCCTTAAGTCGGGCGCGTCCCTCTCCACGGGGGAGATTTCAAAATAGCAAACGAATAGTCTGGGGAGGATGTTGCGACCATTTTTTGACAATTTTTGGAGTAGTCTTTCGTATTTTTTCAATTGTTCATCCAACAATTCCCCTGCAGGGGGACAGGCCCGACCTGACTCTACCTCCTTTGTCAAGCGAGGAAACACCACCCAGACCGGACAACTCGAGTTTACTCAACGGCCCTGGGCGTTCACTACACAGCCCTGCCCTGCCCTGTTCTCTTCTTTGGGCGCTTTTACTACACGACTTCGCGTGTCGGGGTGGTCATTCAGGGGGGGGATTTTGTGACCTCCACTTCGTCAGGGGGCCACATGCGAACCCTGCCCCTATCCCCCACGATTTCCGAGGGGGAGGGTGGGGTTCACTCCGTTTGGGAGCTCCCGAGTGAAGTGAACCCCACCCTCCCCCTCAGAAATCGTGGGGGGTAGGGGCAGGGTTCGCATGTGGCCCCCTATTCGTGCGCGCCGCCAGCGAGAGGGGCTCGCCCTCCACCCGGGGAGGCCCGAGGCCCTCGGGACCCCGGCGCGCCCAGGGCCCCTGCGTGGCCCAGGCCTCGCCCAGAGGGCGCCACCCCCGCGCCGGCACGGCCGGCCGCAGCTCGAGCCAGCGGGCCAGCAGGCGCTCCAGGAGAGCAAGCAGTGGCGAAGCGCCCTCTGCTCGCCTGCAGGCCTGCCGAAGAAGCGGGGTTGGACAGGCCTCCTACCCTGACACGTCGATTAAGGAATTGGCCGTTTTCGGTTCGCGAGAGGGCGTCGCGGCCGTCATTTTCGCGGGTCCAGGTCCGTCGGTTTCGGTCCCAGGCCGTTTTCACAAAGGGGAGGTCTACTAAAGGGAGGTTTGTCCACCGCCGACTGTAGGCCTACCGAAGAATGTTCTAAGAACCTCTTGTGGCTCCCACGGAGTGTTCTCAGAGCAGTTCTGGCGGAGTCTGTCCTGGTCTATCGCATCGGGCTCATGTTCTAAGAACGCTGCTTTGGTTCTTAGAACATTTGTGGATTCCAGGAACATCTCGTGGTAGGCCTAGAGAAATGCCGGGGCGGTCGGTCTCTGCTCAAAGGAGAGGCCCAGCGTTCAGCGGCCGATTGAGAGGTCGACTCCACCTCCGGCAGGGGGAAAACACACAGGCACACTGAATCGTCGACTGCCCGGAAGAAAAGATGGGAAGATATGGGAAGTGTGGGGGGGTGAAGACAAAAACCAAGAAGATATAAGACAATTTGGGGAACTCTGGGATTCGTGTCCATTTGTTTGTGTGCCCCTGGGCCCCATAATACACGCAAGAGTGACATTTCGCCGAAGTGACTCTTGGTACGGGCCCAGCTGGATCCTCCGATCGCCAAACTCGGAGCGGTAGTAGCGTCTTGCGCGCTCGTGTTTCGCCCCCGCGCGGCCCCCGAAACGCCGCGCACCAAAGGTCACTCGTACCCAGGGTCACTCTTGCGCGTAGTCGAAGAGGGCAGCTGGGAGCAGGAAGCGCACCACCACCAACACCACCCGGGGGCTTCAAGGTGGGCTGGTGTGCGGGTGTGCACGATGCCCCGCGGGAGCGCCCGTACACCACCACCACCACCACCACCACCACCACCACCACCAGCACCACCACCACCATTACCACCACCACCACCACCACCACCACCACCACCACCACCACCACCACCACCACCACCACCACCACCACCACCACCACCACCACCCCATGACCACCCTCTGCCTCCATCCTCCAGGTGGTGGTGGTGGTGCGGCCTCCGCATCAAGATGGGAGGGAGTGCCTGTTAGAGTTAAGTCGGGCGCGTCCCTCTACAGGAGGAACATTCAAAGCTAGTTGAAAGATGTGGGGATTAGCTTTTGGGCTGTCTTTTTACTCTTTGGGGGCAGTTTTTGGAGTATCTTTAATGTTTCGCCCAACATCCGCCCGTAGGGGGACACGCCCGACCTAATGTTAGGGGGGGGCCAGCGCCTTGAGACCCATTCGCTCCCCGCGCCCTCTGGGCCGGCGGGGGGGCCCCTCTCGCTCTGCCGGTCCGTCTGCCCACTCCGCCGAGGCCGAGGAGGCAGCCCGCGGCGAGGAGGACGAGGACGCGGAGGACGAGGACCCGCCGGTCGGAGGAGCGCAGACTGATCCTCGGAGGGCGCGCAATGTTAAGTCGGGCGTGCCCTGCCCCTCTACAGGAGGGCTATCCAAGAGTAGTCAAAACATAGTCTCGGGACGATTTTTGTTGTGACTATTTTCGACCATTTTGGAATATTGTTGTGGTACTTTGTACTTCCCGTCCAGAATCCGCCTGCAGGGGGACATACCCGACCTGAGCGTAATGGGTGGGGCGGTAAATGCGGGGGCAGCGAGGGCTGCAGAAAGGGGCCCTTCAGGGCCCCTGGAGGGGCCCTTCAGGGCCCAGAAGGGGGCCCTTAGAGTCAACCCGCATAGTAAGGATGGGCAGCCTTCCCAGGGGCACCCTTGCATCCCTGCATCCTAGGCCCATCCTTGGCCACTTTCGTTGGCCGCGCCTCGAAAGCGGAGTGCCGACGTGGCTTCCCAATGCCCTTGCAACCTTCTCGTGCGTGCTTCTTCTGCGGGTTGGCCGCAGGTCCGAAGAGGGCACCTTTCCTCCTGCCCGTTTAACGACCCCCACTCGTTCGCGCCCGAGAGCCTGCACCGCTGGACCTGGCGCCAGGCTCACCCCGAGCCCCGGGCAGGCGCGCACGCCTGCCCTGCCGGGCCCGAGAAGAGCACCTTTCCTCCCCCCCCCCCCCATTTTTCGCCCCCCAAGTAGTTCGCGCCCAAGACCCTACGCTGCCGGACCTGGCGTTAGGTCGGGCATGTTCTTCTACAGGCGGGTTTTGGACGAAAAATATCAAAGTGTCAAGCAGTATTGCCAAATCGTCCAACATAGATTTGAAACATGGTCGACTGCTTTTTTAAACACCATTTTCTTTGCAGCACGATGTTTGAATATTCCTCCTGTAGAGGACAGGCCCGGCTTAGTTGAACCTGCCGGCAGGCTCACTTTGCGCCCTGGGCAGACGTGTACGCCTCCCCTGCGGGGTCAGGGGAGGGCTCATGATGCACCGCTCTCACTGGAGGATGACGATTCATAAATGACCGGGGGTCGTGTTCGCGCGGCGGCGCCCGGGATGACGATTAGAAAAAACCGGCCGCGGGCTGGAAGACTATGTTTTAAATCGTTGTCCTCCAGTCAGAAAATTGTGCAGAAATTCAGAGCGTGAGTTACCTACCCCGCTTTCGCTTCCAGGCAAAACCAAGTCATACTGCGCGCCCCCTCGTCAAGCGGCCTGACCAGTACAGGCCGTAGTTTGGCATCGCTTGGTGTCTCCTCGAAGCGAGGGTGGTCAAAAGCGAAGCGAGGAGTGGGGGGGAAGACAAAACAACAGAAGTTATGGGAAAACATGGGGAGTCCTTTTATTTGTGTGTGTTTATTTGTGTGTCCCAGGGCCCCTTCAGTGTCGCTCCGCTGGCCCTGGCCCACCAGGCCTCGGCGCGGCGGGCCACCGCCTGAGATCGGGGCGCCCAAGTTTTTTAATAGCCCCAGAATCGCGTAGCGATGTCGGGGGCAGGGAAATCTTCAGGGAGGCCTTTGTGGGCTTCTTGGCTTCTATGCCTCTGGGCTTCCTTCCCTCTCACAGCCTGGGCGCGTCTGAGTTTCAGCGGGTGGTATCTCACGCCTCTGAGGTGCAGCGGCCACCCTGAGATCCTGGCGTCCAAGTTTTTCCGAGCCGGGCGTCCTCGACTTTCCTCGGGCCCTGGGGCCCTGACGCTCCAGCTCGAGCAGTGACGCAGCAAGGTGGGGTCTATAGGGCTCCGGGCCTGTGTTTTTTATATATTTTTACGATGCTGTCTCGCAACGTCGGATCTCAGGGCAGCCGCGTCCCCATGTCCAGGCGTCAGCGTCCCGAACGCTGCCCGGCCCCCCGCCCCCGCGTGGCCGAGCGGCGACATGCCAGCGTGCCGCCAGGGCCTCCGCCGCTGCCCGGGCACCTTGCTGAGGCCCGCAAGGGCGCTGCCCTGAGGCGCCCGAAGCTGCTCGTCGGTCGTTGAGAGTAGGCATTTCTGGAGCCCCTACGCACTTCAGCCGCCTTCTTATTTTCGGGGGCGGCAAAGAGGGGGGCGATGACTAGGGGGGGGTGGATATCATGGCGGGGGGCATGATGTTTCCTCAGATTTCATGGCGCCTCTTTTTATTTCATTACGTCCCTGGCCCCCCCGCTGGGCCGAGCACATGCCGCCGGTCATGATTTGCACCCCCCCCTCTTGGACACCCCCCTCTTGGCCGCTCCCGATATTTCAAGAATCGGTTTGTTGTCCTTCTCCTTCCTCTTCGGGGGGCAGGCGGGAGTCCAGTGTGCTTCCAGCGCCTTCCTGCGTCGTGGTTCTATCCACACCTCACCCGACCGATGGGCACACCTCTCAGGACGCTGCCACGGGGCGCCCCAAAAGTACCCGCTCTAGGAGGCTGCCTTGAGGCGCCCGCCACTGACTGCCAGGGCGCTTCCCTGGGAGCCCCGGACGTACACGGGACCCCCCGGCGCCCGCAGACGAGCATGCCACTCGGGCGCTGCGTTAGGGGGGGGAAGGGGGGGGCGGCAACACACGGGGGGGAGGAGGAGGCGCAGGGTGCACCTCCTGGGGGCACGGAGGGGGCCCCACGGGGCCCCCCCCCCTGGGGCCCAAAAGGGGGCACGGCAGGGGCACCCTTCTCTCCCCCCCTTTCAAACTTACCGCTGCGCAGCGCCCAGATTAGGGGGCCACATGCGAACCCTACCCCTGCCCCCCACGATTTCGGAGGGGGAGGGTGGGGTTCGCTTCTCTCGGGAGCTCCCGCGCGAAGTGAACCCCACCCTCCCCCTCCGAAATCGTGGGGGGCAGGGGTAGGGCTCGCATGTGGCCCCCTGCAGATGTCGCGGCGGCGGGCGTCGTCTCAGCTCGGCCTGCAGGCAGAGGCCTGCCGAGGGGGGGCCCCCGGCGGCCCCCCGGGCCGGGCCGGCCGCCCCGCGGGCCCGACCCGCGACAGACTCGGGCGGTGCCGTTGCGGGTCGAGGGCGCTCGTGGGCGGCCGTCTCGGGCGGTGCGGCGGCGGTCGCCTGGGCCGTCTCGGGGTCGAGCGCGTTCCTGGACGCTCCTGGGCCGTCTGCGGGTCACCCTCGAAGCATGCAAGCCTGGGGTTGAAAGAGACTTGCCACGGCGAGGGGCCCAAGCACATGCAGCCGCGATTTATCGCGGGGCAGATGGAGCGAAGGAGGGGAGTCACGAAGTGTGAGACCTGGCATCGCTCGGACGTGTGCGTTTTTTCTTCGGCGAGGGCCATCGAGGAGCATCCTTGACCATTTGGCGAAACAACCACGCACGAAACCGAAAAAACACACACCGAATAGACGCCCGAGCGATGGCGAGGAGAGGAGTGTGCTGACCCTGTAGGCCCACTGCGGTCTTCGCTGCAGCTCCCCATGCCCGCACGGAGCGTGCGAGGGGTGCGCCGCCGCGCGGCTGGCGGTGGTGCTCGTGCCTGCTGCTGCTGCTGCCGCTGAGGCCGATGATGCTGGGGACGCGGATGATGGTGATGCTGACGACGGTGAGGAGGGAGGAGGGGGAGGAAGGACGAGGAGGAGCGCGGACGCGGGGACGAGAAGGAGGAAGGACGAGGGGGAGGGAGGACGAGGAGGAGGAGGAGAAGGAGGAGGAGCGCGTGACGCGGGGCGCGGTCGCTTCAAACCGGGGACCCAATGCCACCAGAGGGTGGGCGGGACCCCCCCGAGCCCCAACGGTGTAGTCACGCCTTTGGGGCTCGGGATGGCACGCACATGGGGGGGCGCGCGCCGCGGGGTGACGGCCCGCCGTGGGTGGCCCACGCCGCACCCCCCGAGGGCAGACTGAGCGACGCCACTGAGGGTCGACAGCGTCCCTGGACGCTCTTCCAGATTGGGGGAACAAAACTCGTCATCGCTCGGACGTGTGCATTTTTTCTCGGCGAGAACCATCGAGGACCATCCTGGACCATCGAGCCAAAAAACACTGACGAAGCCGAAAAATGCTAAGGAAATGGACGTCCGAGCGACGGCAAGAAAAAGTTGCCTCAACAACAATTCTGGGGCCCCCCGGCGGCGCCTCCGGCGCCGCCCCTGGCGCGCTCCGCGCGCCAGGGAGGGGAGTCCAGCGCCGATCCGAGGAATCCGCGCGGCCCTCCGAGCTTTTATGCTTAAGGTGTCAATGGTTGTTCCCCTGTCCTGGGGACCGCGCTCTGCTGGTCTCGCCACCGCCCGCCTGCCGCGGCGCCCCGACAGCGCCCTCCAGCACTCTGGCCAGCTCCGATGGGTGGCCCGCCGCCTCTCCTCCTCCTCCTCCTCCTCCTCCTCCTCCTCCTCCTCCTCCTCCTCCTCCTCCTCCTCCTCCTCCTCCTGCTCCTCCTCCTCCTCCTCCTCCTCCTCCTCCTCCTCTTCCTCCTCCTCCTCCTCCTCCCGCTGCTGGCGAGCTCCTCCTGCTCACGCGCTGCCCTCCTCCGCAGCAGCAGGCGCCGAGCACCCTCGGAGGCGACCGCCTCCTGGCAGTGCCTGGGCGGGAGCTGGGCAGGGCTGGGGGGCGGCGCCGGAGGCGCCGCTGGGGGGTCCAGCGCCGATCCGAGAAATCCGCGCGGACCTCCGAGTTTTTATGTTTATGACACTTTTTGTTCCCCTACAAGCGGTGTTTTGGCGACTTCGTGGGCCGTTTTCGCTTCGACTCCGCGCTGCGGTAAAACGGCGGATGGAGGGACAAGGCGAGGGAAAATGAGGTCAACACGAACACGAACAAAAGTCGTTTGGGTTCAGCCCTGGAGGTGGGGTCGGGAGCGCGCCTGCCAGGCCGCCCGGCTGCGTGCCGGCGGCCCCGGCCTCTCGCCGGCGCGCTCGTCGCTGCCCGCCCTCCTCGCCTCCTCGCCTCTCCCGTCGCGGGGCGGTGCAGACTCCGAAGGCGAAAACCCACCCCCACCCCCCGTCCCGACGCCCATCTCGGGGGAGAAAAAAGATACGGATACGTGTTGTCCCCCGTCGTTTTCGGCCTTTCCTGGTCCTCCTGGGCAATCCTCGTTGTCACCGCTGGATTCGCCTCGAAATTCTGGTCAGAACGCACCCCAAGAGAGGTCCGGGGACAACACGTATCCGTATCTTTCCGCCCCCCAACCATCCCCGAGCCGGCGATTCAAAGGGCCGGGACTGGGGGTGGGGGTGGGTTTTCTCCACTCCTGGGCCCCGAAAAAACCCACCCCCACCCCCAGTCCCGACTCCTTGAATCGCGGGTTCGGGGATGGAGTCGGGACTCGGGGTGGGGGTGGGTTTTCGCCTTCTCACAGACTGCCGTGAGTCAGGGCCTGTGTTCGGACGGGGCTGCCCAGAGCCCGTCGGGTCGGGAACAAGATCGCGGCGGTAGGTTCTTCACCCTCTTGGGCCTCTGGGGACCCTCGCCATGCCTCGGGGCCGCCGAAGAACGGCGCAGGATGGAAAGCCGGCCCCAGGGAACGGGTCGAGCGTTTCGGGGTCGACGTCGTGAAAAGGTCATGACGTCGGGGATCTGGGTAGGACATGGATAAGTCCGTCCCAGACTGTTCTGGAACGCTCTCAGAGCGGTCCTGGGCGCTCTGAGAAGGCCGCGGCGCCCGATACATCCTCTAGAACCGCCAGATCTCAGAGATTCCTGATGTAATTATCCTTGTCCGATTTTATCCTCGTCCTTGCTTCGTCTTACTGCGTGGCCGCCTAGGCCTGTTGCACCGTGGAACTTCCATGCCATCCGTTAGGAAGCTCTGGATCCCTTCGGGCTGGATGGAACAGGCGACAGCGTCGGGGGGTCTGCGGCGGCCCCATATCGAACAGGCGAAGCAAAGTTCCCTTTGCCAAAGAAGCAACCAGATTCGGCCGAGATGTTTCCAGGCCTTCTTGCCCACTCAGTCGTTGCCCGAGGGGGCCCGACCTGTCTTGTGCATCAAGACCGGTGGCGATGCAGGCGTCCCGAGGTGCTGGGTTCCTTGGGGGCTCTCCCTGGGATCCTCGGGGACGCCCCCCCCGCTTGTCGAAGGCCCCCCCGAGTCGTAACGCAGTGTATTTGTCTAGGCAAGGCGGAGCAAAGCAGGGCAATGCCAAGCAATGTGCAAAATGAGAAGCAGGACGATCCGAAGCAAACCGAAGCAAGGCAAAGCAGCTAATTGCAAAGCGGAGCAATGCAATGCACAACATTCCAAAGCGGCGCTGCCCACGATTCCAAAGCGGCGCTGCCCGAAGCAAAGCATTGAAACGTTGAGCTCTGTGGGTTTTGGGTTGGACCCCAGTGTTGGGACTCCATGGGTCGGGCGCCAGACACTGCAGTCGGGTCTGATTGGCGGGTCGCGACCCTGCAGACGCAAGGGTACCCCTTATCTTAAGTCGGGCCTGTCCCCCTACAGGGGGATTTTCGACGAAACATTAAAAATACCACAGAAATGCTCAAAATGGCAAACATATAATCCAAACATAGTCCCCAGACTACTTGGGATTATTTTTGGGTTATTTTTGAGGCATTTTTTATTTTTCGTCGAAGGTCCCCCTGTAGGGGGACAGGCCCGACTTGACCCTTATCGTGTCTGTCGTATCTCATGCCCTCTTCATGCCTGTTGCACGGGCTGGCACAGGTTGCCCTCGGGTGGGTCGTCTGCCCCTCCAGCCGTCCTCCGCAGTCGGCCCCAACTGTTAGTACGGCTTCCGCCGCTGGGCTCTGGCACGGTTGGGTCTGTGTAGGTCGACCCTGAAGGATCACCGGTACCCTTTGGGCCGTTGACAGCAGGTTTTTTGGGATTGCCAGATGCCAATCTACTTTAAGCGCATTCCTACTTCAACGATTCGGGGGTGGACAGACCTCCTACCCTGACACGTCGATTAAGGAATTGGCCGTTCTCGGTTTGCGAGAGGGCGTCGCGGCCGTCATTTCTGCGGGTCCAGGTCCGTCGGTTTCGGTCCCAGGCTGTTTTCACTAAGGCGAGGTTTACTAAAGAGGGGTCTGTCCATCCCCGATTTTGGATTGCCAGATTCCAATATACTTTAAGCGCATTCCTACTTCCATGATCGAGTGGTTTCACCTTTTCCGTCCTCCTTCGAGGGCGGGCGGAGCCCTCCTTTCGACGCCTTCCTACTTCACGCTTCTACCTACTTCTTCCGACCGACAGGTGCCCTTGTTGCCTGCCATTCGCATGCCATGGCCTGTTCATGTCTGCAGGGCGGTATGCCCTCGGAAGACAATTGTGTCCTCATCGGGTGAGCTCCGCGATCGGTCCCGACCGCTGCGCGCACCACAAGGAACCAGCGGACCAGGTGAAACGACTGCGTCTCAGAAGTGCACGTAAGTCGGGCATGTCCCCCTGCAGAAGTTATACCCAAAAGCAGCCCGACAACAGTCTGGTGTCGATTTCTCGTGTCGAACAAGTCTTGTGTTTGGCAATTCTGCATTTTGCTGTCAAAGCCCGCACGTAAGGGGACAGACCCGACCGAAAAGTACAGCATCGTGCTACCACAAACAAGGCCGAACAGGGAACGAAGGGGTCTTCCTGGCCATGGTGAGCCTCAGCCGTCCGTGAATAGGCTCCCCGACCCAAGCCTCAGGAATGGCACGTTTCTTCTCCTTCTCCTCCTCCTCCTCCTCCTCCTTCTGTTCCT